TGAACCCAGGAGGCGGAGGTTGCGGTGAGCCGAGATTGCGCCATTGCACTCCAGCCTGGGTAACAAGAGCGAAACTCCGTCTCAAAAAAAATAAATAAATAAAATAAAAAACTTAGCTGGGTATGGTGGTATGCACCTGCAATCCCAGCTCCTCAGGAAGCTGAGGCTGGAGAATCACTCGAAAGGCGGAGGTTGCAGTGAGCCAAGATTGCATCACTGCACTCCAGCCTGGGCAACAGAGCAAGGCTGTCTCAAAAATACATAAATAATAATAATTTTGCATCAGTGTTAGTTTTGGTAAATCCATGGTTGTGTAAGATGTTAACATTAGAGGAAACTGGGTGAAGGTCTGAAGAACTCTATTTCTTTTTCGTAAGCCTAAAATTATTTCAAAATAATAAGTTATAAAAATTAGAGGGTGACATTCAACTTAATTTCATCAGCATTCCTTTTTCCCCTGTTCCTAACCAGCCATGTGATCTTTAGCAAATTATTTCATTTCTCTGGGTCACAGTTTTTCAACTAAAAAAAAAAAAGATACAAGCCAGATCATCTCTAACTTCCCCTCAATCTCTCAAATTCTGTGATCCCCATACATTTACAATATGATGCAATCTACAAACATTTGATTTGTGGTGATCTCTTATTCACCTTCATATCTCTGGTATTTAGCATTGTGCCTATACATAGCTGGTGCTCACTGAAGGTTTTTGAAACTACCTCAAAAACTGAGGTTCACACCTCAGTTTGTAAAGCGAGGTAGAACTGTTAGCTCCTTTACCTAGTTGACCGCTAGAGAGCGAAGTGGTCACAAAATTTTTCTCTTAAAAGCAAATTTATCTTCATCTAACAGAGGGGAGTGGTCCTTTATATTTCAGGCATGTAAAAATCAGGTCTTGGTTGGGGGAAGGGAGACATCTGTGAGCAGTTTCCTGCCTATAGACAGGCCCTCCAGTGGGGTGATTAGTACCATAAGCTTCCAGGTAAGCACACAGGGCCACTGCCCTCACCCCACTAAAGCACTTAGCAGCCTCAGTGGATGGGAGATCGCCCTGCAAATGGGGAGCCCCACTCCTAGCATATACATCATTGTCTGTCTTCCTAATGATCCTGGCTCATTTCTTGTAAAATGTTTCACTTGCAGAAAGGCAGCTTTAAGAGGTCAAATAAATGAATGTGGAAGGAAATTAATTAAAACCTTGACAACCACATGAAAAAGGCATTAGCCTTGAACAGGCGCGGTGGCTGGCTCACGCCTGTAATCCCAACACTTCGGGAAGCCGAGATGGGTGGATCACGAGGTCAGAAAACCCAGACCATCCTGGCCAACATCGTGAAACCCCATCTCTACTAAATATACAAAACTTAGCTGGGCGTGGTGGCAAGCGCCTGTAGTTCCAGCTACTCAGGAGGCTGAGGCAGGAGCATCGCTTGAACCTGGGAGACGGAGGTTGCAATGAGCCAAGATTGCACCACTGTACTCCAGCCTGGGGACAGAGCGAGACTCCATCTCAAAAAAA